TTGGTGAGTTCTCCTGGCCTCCAACGTTCCGCCAGCACAACACCCGAAACCCACGCTGAAATGGCCGCCAAGCGAAGCGAGTGGCCAACGCAAAGAACACTTTGGGCACACCAAGGTTTACCCAAAAAACGTTTTCACTCTTAACACGCACCGGCACTTCAAAACTTAAACTCATTGTTTTGCAACACTTTGCACAACTTTACTTATTGCACTATATATTTCCTCCAGCGCAAAGTAGCTTCTTCAACCTGGAGCTTCTACATCATACACAATGGCCCAAAGCCAAAGCCCTAGATGCAAAGCAAAGCCCCAAACAAGAGGAACATCACATATATCTGTGGAATGATGCCAGAACCAATGCTCGCACGGGTCGATCCCCGCAAAGAGCAGGAGCCACCTCAGTCCGATAAGACGAGCGATCTCCAGGACAAGCCGCACTCACCTAAAGCGGCTAAGAAGAAGGGCAAGCTCGAGCGCTTGCGGGATGCGCTGGCCAAGGCCAACGCCACCAACTCACAGAAGACCGCTCGCACGGAGAAGCAGGTCTCCACTCCAGACAGGGACAAAAGGATCCCCGACTCCGAGTGGAAGGCGATCACCAGAGCGGCTAAAGGGCCGAAGCGGTGCCACTACTACAACTCCTCCATGAGCTGTTCGATCGGTGACAAATGCCGGTTCAAACACACCTGCATGCAGTGCGGCGAAGCTCACCCGATGGTGGGCGACCACTGAGAAGATCCCTCCAGTGCGATCGGCCCCGGGCCGGCTCCGGCTAATGAAGATCTGGGCTTCGTGCACAAAGATCTGACCACACCAGAGCCGTTTTGGGGGTCGTTTCGACGACCACCTCCTGGTCGTTATTTTCTGGAAATTTTTGCTGGAAATGCTGTGCTCACCAAGGCCATGAGGGCCGCCGGTTTTGCAGTTCTCCCACCAATAGAGATTGAATGCAATGATGAGGTCCAATTTTCCGTCGACATCACATCCGAAGATGTGATCCAACATCTGCGCATGCTCATCACTGAAGGCTACGTGTTCTATGCCCACTTCGGGACACCGTGCTCTTCGTTCAGTCTGGCCCGCAAGCTCGATGGAGGTCCTCCGCCTTTGCGGTCCAAGGACTTTCTTTGGGGGCTCCCTCATCTGAAGCCATGGGACGACCAAAAGGTCAAGATAGGGAACCAGCTCATGCAGCTCACGGTCGATTTGGTCACAAGACTTCAATCCGTAGGCTGCCTATGGTCCATCGAGAACCCGCTGAGTTCCTTCCTGTGGCTCATGCCGCCCATGGTTCAGTTGACCAAGCTCCCTCTAGCAGTTCGGACTGAGTTTGACATGTGCCGATTCGGGTCTGCACCTGAAACCCACCGCCATTTTGGCCACAGTGGCACTCGAAGCTCTTGCACTTCGTTGTGACATGGCCGAGCGGCCGCACCGCCATGTCCCCCTGACGGGGATGGATCTGGTTGATGGGCAGCGACAGTTCCGCACCAAACGAGTTCAGGTCTACCCAACTGATCTGTGCCGCCGACGGGCTAGTGCGATCACAGCATGTGGGGATCCGAATGCTGCCACCTTCAACATGGTCACTCCTGCAGCACACCGCAAACGACCGCTTGGTCAAGCGGTGCCTTGGGCGATCCATCGACAAGCCGAGACCGGCGCTAAGGCGCTCGCTGCAGGATACCAGTTAAAAAGGTCGGTGCTCCCACCATTGCTGGCAATCGAATACGAGCCAGGCGAAGCAGTCAGAGTGGCGCTCGATTTGATACATCCTTTTTCCACCGCGCCGGCCCTAGATCCAGATTTGCAAGAGGCTCTCGCTCTGACCGCTCTCCATCCGGAACAAGTTCGTTCCCACCGTTGCCAGGCCTTGCTCTACTGGGAGCAGCGGGCACATCAGCTGTTGCCGCAGACGGACCAGCAGCTGAGGCAGATCCATGATCCTTGGCTGCGCCGGCTGCTCCGCGGTGTGCCGGATGATCAGGCACTTCAGCTGGGACTGTGCGCACACATTGCGCTGTGGCAAGAGCTTGCTCAAGCTGCGCGTTCAGTGGATGCTGGGCTCGTTGAGCAAATGATTTTAGGCCTACCGATCGTCGGCCCCATTTCCCGCTCTCATCGATGGGACCCCTTTGATCAAGACCAACAAGTCCTGTCAGTGGAACAGTTGAAATCGAGGGCCTGGGAATTTTCGGCTAAGGTCATTCGTAATATCAACAAATGTGAAATTTCAGATAACACCCAGAAGGTCTGGGATGCCACAATGGAAGATGTTCACGAAGGTGTGACTTTAGGTCCTTATTTTTCAAAACACGAAGTCGCACAGATCGTTGGGACTCCATGGATCCCAACACAAAGATTCGAAGTTGTTCAGAAAAACAAGGTCAGGGGGGTCGATAGTGCCACAACTAACGGCATTAATAGGGCCACCCAGATTACAGAGAAGCTCGATCTGCCATCGACAGATGTCAACGTGGCAGCCATTCGGTGGCTTCGTTCGAACACCAAAGGCCGGAAGCTCAGAGGATGGGTTCTCGACGAACGAAAGGCATACCGACAAGTGCCGATTCGGCCTGACCACAGGAGGTGGAGCGTGATCGCTCTCAAAGAGCCCTGTTCAGGTAGAATTGCTTATTTCGTCATGGTAGGTCATTCGTTCGGACTTGTCGCGGCCGTTTACAACTACAATAGACGGTCGGCTCTGATCACGGATATTTTGAGAAGGGTGTTCAGCGTAGCTGCTTTCAATTTTTACGATGATAAATATGGGTTCGAACCCGAAGACACGGTCGATTCGGCATTTGCAGCCGCACAGGCGGTCCACTTGTGGTTAGGAGCAAGGTTCGACCAGAAGAAACTGCAGAAGGCCGAAGACCCCACGATCCTGGGGGTCACATACGATCTCACACACATGAAAGTGCTCGTCAAAGAAAGTAGGAAAGCTGAGCTCATGGATGAGATTAAGAGCATACTCCAGTCGGGTGTGCTCTCGCCAGGCCAAGCAGGTAAGCTGAGAGGAAAGCTCATGTTCGGATCGTCCCAATTATGGGGAAAGATCGGAAGAGCATTCTTGAGAGCTTTGTCAGAAAGGCAGTATTCGAGATGGCCCAGCTCCGATTTGAACGCTGCTATTAGGCTCTCGCTCGGCGAATGGGAACACTTGCTCGAAAAGGGCCCACCACGGCCAATTGAAAGAAGAAGAAGAAAGCCGATTTCGTTATTTTCACTGATGGAAGTTTTCCTGACGATCGCTCAGACGGCCCAGAGTTTCCGTGGATCGGCGGGGTGATCTTTTCCCGAAACAGAACGCCTTCCCAGTTCGGCTGTAGGGTGAAAAATTCGCTCATTGAGAAATGGCTCCCACGGAAATCGCAAATCGCCATGGTCGAAATGTTTGCAGTGGTCGTAGCTCTCGAAACTTTCGGTTTAACGATTCGAAACTCGTGGATCCTGATGTTCGTCGACTCTGAACCAGTTCAGGGTGCGCTCGTGAAGGGATATTCTGCTAAGGAAGACATGTGCGAGCTGACAGGTGTTTTCTGGAAGTTAGCTCTGGAACTCAAGGTCAACACCTACATTGACAGGGTCTCAACAGATGCTAACCCAGCAGATCCTCCATCGAGAGATCGGATGAACATTGGATCTCGGCTAGGTTGGAAAACGGTCATTGCCAAGTTCCCTAACCTCTAACAGCGTGGGGTGAATTTTGATACCAGATTTGATTTTCATTCAAAGAGGTCATCAGATTCGATGACACAGTTTTCGATCGACCTTCCAACTTACCCACGTCGCATGGAAGGAAAACTAACTGGGCGTGTTCACGCTGCCTTCTGTGCGTTGATCTCTGAGAGTTGTAGAGCTCTGATCAGAGCTCGTCATAGGAACGTAATTGGTTGACTTATCATCGGTTGGTTAGGCTGGGATAAGTAGATCAATTGTTCGTTCCTCCACAACTCCAATTATTTACATCGATGGATCCTTTTTATTTTTGATATTGGCTGATCAGCCACTTTTGGAGAGCATCGAGCCAATGGCATGTTCATGCCATTTTGGCTCAAGGTGTGAGCTCTGATTTTTGAACCCACCCACCACTCCCCTTTGGGCCCAGATCCCGGGCCTTGAAGGGGGGCGGTGCCAGGTCTGTCACTCCCCCCTGATTACCTAGGTTCTCGATCGCGCTCGCATGTGCTCTCTCGGGCTTTGCCGCTGATGATCCGCAAAGCTCCTGGATGATGCTGCAGCCTGCTCACGCTGCCTTTGTTGAGTGGCACCATCTGCCGCCGTGATCTGCGGGTGGTAGTCGTTGACAAACGGCAGTTTGAAAAGACCTGCCGGGTCATTTGTGTGACCTAGCTGTTCAGCTGCAAAAAAAACGGTGGAGATCACCTGCATTGATGATATTTTTCGTTCAGGCGGCGATCGCCTTGATTCATACTCTCATAGCGGGTGCTGATCACCCTGATCTCTGTATTTCGAAGTTCATTTGCAATCGATCGAGTGCATTTTTCAACACCTTGAAGAAATGTCGGGGTGAATTTTGATACCAGATTTGATTTTCATTCAAAGAGGTCATCAGATTCGATGACACAGTTTTCGATCGACCTTCCAACTTACCCACGTCGCATGGGCTCTGATCAGAGCTCGTCATAGGAACGTAATTGATATATATATAT